ATATATATATATACTCTACTGTATCTTCTTTGCTCGGATAACTTATTTGTGAAATCTTTGGTCCTTGAGTATATTCTGTTTGCCACAGCTGGTTTTCCTGCATTCTCACATTTTTAAAATGTGAGGCACGCACACAGCTGGAAATAATGGACTTTGTCATCGTACGTGCTTCTGCTTTTGTAACTGTACCAATCCACTACTGTTCATTTGGAGCAAGCTGTTTCTGGTAAAGCGTTCTAGTCAAGCAAGCTATACATTCTACACGGTCAATCCATAGACAGCACTTGCTGCAAGCCCCAAACGCAGTAATTCCAATATACATTTTTATTCAGCTTATCTCTGCTTTATGCCTCTAACTTTTAATTCCTGAATATATATATAGAATTGTTTTTTGTTATTTTTTCTTTTTGTTGTTTTTTTTTTGTTTTGTTTCTTTCATATTCTCCCTTTTGCAGATCCCATTCTAGAGTAAGAATAAAAATAAAAGAAAATAAGGCTTTCCCACCTTCTGTATGCCAAAGCTATGGGAGCAGGTATTGCCAACCCATATTGTCATCAAGCATTCCTCCCTCACTCATTTCAGGGGAAGCTGGTTGCTTTTAATGACAGGCCTCTTGTGCTCTGGGCTAGGATCCAATTACTTTGGGGTTCTTTCTCGATCGTGCTCCCAGTTATTTACTACAAGAACCACAAGCTTTTCCCAAGCTTGAAAACTAGAGCAGATCATCATTGCACAAAACACCCCATTTCACAGGGGCGCGCCGCCCCTTTCTACGTCTTAGAAAACGCTCTCCCCACCGGCTCTACTAATTTCGGTCCTTAATTACAGGGCAGCCAAGTCGAGTACGTGTGCTGCTGGCAAGGGAACACCGTCTGAACCTGGGCAATGTAGTAATTGCTGAAGTTGGCATCTGCTACGTATGGGGCTGGCTGGTAATAGCAGGTGACATTGGCCACATTGGGGATGATATTTTGCTCGGCCAGGACCCGGATGGCCAGCATGGTGATCAGATTCAGAGTCTGTCTCCTCTCATGCCCCATCAGGCACACCGTGCTCTCATTCACCACACCGTGAAGGGTCATGAGATAGTCATACTTGCGGTCCTCTAATCCCACAAAGTGGTTCTGCAAGTAGGACTCCAGCTTTCTCTGCTGTTCTCCAATGTCTGAGAAGTCAATGAAAAACCTCGAGCACATGTATCTCTGCAGGGACTTAATCTCGGATTCGGAGGCAGCCCTAAAGCCCCTTACCAAAAGGTTGCAGTACTTCAGGAGACCACCTCCTCTGATCTCTTCTGGGTTTCTGGTGGCGATTATCTTGTTGCAGAGGTGATCAAAGGCTTCCTGGAAATCCCCATAGACGCTCTCACCAATGATAGTCGGGTGAAAAGTTTCGGTCATCGGATTCTCTGAGCACTCATAAAAAAGCAGCAGGGAGTCCAGCTTGATTTGAAAGGAATCGACACTGAATTCAAACTGCCGCCTCAGAGAGTCCACAAATTTCAGCTCCACATTTTTGCCACTGTTGTTGGACAGGGAGATGAGACTCCATCGGTCTGAATCATTGCATACTTTTACCATTTTCTGCACATAAGCTTCCTATAATTGGAAAGACAAAGTGAGCAAATGAAGACACCGATGCAATAAATTTCCCCTTCGCTGCATTTGTTCCCATCCTCCCCTCACCCTCACCCTGTCCTAGCGTTTCATGAAAGATTTCAAGGATCTTGCAGATACAAGCCAGAGAAGAAATGCCTAATATGAGAGCTCGGAGTGCTGTCAGTGCAAGGGGATGATAGGGAGGGTGTTCTGCTGGGACTGTGTCATGCAAGGAAAGCATATGGCAACACTGCTTGTTTCAATCACTTCTAAATACATCTACACATGAAGCCCATAGTGCACACGCCAAATAGTCATGCACCAAAGGTCACAGCTACAATCAGATACGAAATCTTTTTTACTGGCTTACACTTCTCTTTCCTCCCCATAAAAAAAACAACAACAAAACAAACAAAAAACCCCTAAAAACAACTTAGCAAGTATTCACTCCCTTCAGTCCTGCTCTTTCAGTGCAGGTTCCACCAGTTTGCCCCATATTAAAAAAAAAAAAATCCCTCTAAATTATCTTAGAGGCATTTGGCATGCAGCCTAATTAACTGGAGTGAACCGTCTCCGAGAGGAGGGAATATGCCTCTCCTCTGGGGCACCAAGCACACAAAAAAGCGTGCCTTACAGGCGGCGTTTCCTTCTTGCAGATATTAAAGCCAGCTAAGCTCACCCCCCCTTCTCCCCCAGCCATCCCGGGAACCGGGTCCGACAAACCAGGCTGCGGCAGAGCCGCAGAGACAGACACACACACACACACAGACGGGCTCCCTGGGAAACACTAATTAATCCAGAGGAACCTCGGCCAGGACGCTTCACTGCAAAGCCTTTCCCGGTTTTAAGCGTGGGGTGAAAAAAAAACCACTCCCGGTCCCTGTGGGTCTCGGGCTGTGGGGGAGAGCTGCGTCCCCCGGTGCCCCCCTCGACCCCCGCAGGCGGGCGCTTACACCTGCCCGCTCCAGGCGGCCGGCACCAGGGCAGCTTTACCTTGAGGGTGAGCGGCGTGATCTTCTCCTTGTTCACCCCCTCGGGTAAGAAATCCAAGAGGCAGTCCAAGACCACGTCCTTCACAGTCTGAAACTCGGCTTCCCCTTTGAGGTCGGCGCAG